CCCCAAAACCCCAAAACCCCAAAACCCCAAAGATCAATAATCATGAGGAATAGACAGATTAAAATTAAATTAAATCAATCAAAAATAGATAAATAAATTAATTGACTATGAGATAAAATGATTTTGATACAAATGAGAGACCTCTCTATGTTATTGCTAATACTGAAGAGGCAAAATTATTAACTTCCGAGAAAAATCATCTTAGATCATTATTGAGGGAATTAGTTCATAAAAATGGTGGATCGATTGAGCAATTGAAGAGAAGAAACGATATAACTAAAATTAAAATACCCTTACTTTAATAAAAAAAGTTCTCAGTCTCAAATAGTAGAACTAATCATGGTGATGTATTTTTACCCTCAACATCAGTTCATAATAGGCTTAGTAAATCATAAATGTCCAACAATAACTCATTAAAAAGTCAAATGTAGAACAGAACAACCAAGAACAGAAAAAGTAGTATTTCTCCCGTAATAATTGGAGAATTTGATAGATTTTAAGAAGTGACACCTAAAGCTTATAACTATATGAGTTTAGTAGAGATCCCTTAAATAAAGCTAGTTCAGCAAAATTTTAATAATGAGTCAAGTTTAGATATAAAGGGAAGTTTCTTCTCAAGTTACTCAGCATAAAGAAGATCTCGACGGAACATAGAAAAGATCTTGAATAGTCAGAATATAACAACTAACAGCTCAACTCAAGAATCAATATTAGTACCAATCAAAGAAGAATATACTGACTAAAAAACAAATGGTCAATTATCAACTTATCTATAACCTGCTTTTAGCTATTCTCCAATGATTAGGAACACTTTAATTTTTGGAGATACTCAATATGATAATCCATTTTAATTCAATAAAATAAAGAGCAACCAGTATATGAGTGAAATTCTATAAAAGCAATCTGAAATTGAAAAAATAAATCAGCAGCAATATAAAATTCCTATAAAACTTAAAAAGGAGTTGACCAACAATAGATTCTTAGATATAAATATAGGAAATACACACGAAAGAGTCAAGCAAGAAAAACAATGGTCACTTAAAGTAAATCCTAATTACTTTGAATGCATGAAAGAAAGAGAAAAGATTTAAGACATGATTATTAAAAGAAGGCGTGACCGAGAAGCCAAATTTAACAACAAAAAGAGAGCTAACTATTGACACTTTAATATTTATTCATGGCTATTTGAGTAAGGTTTTGATAATTTATTCAACGTAATATATTTAATGGCTTAATTTCCTTAATAAAAGTTGATTTTGATTGAAGGGGTTTTGGGGTTTTGGGGTTTTGGGG